GTGTAGTCTGAAGCCGGCATTAGTCCTGCTAAACTCGAATTTTGCATGACCGCAAAATCTAATTTGTGCCAAAGAAAGCCAAGAAGCTGATGCAGCAAATATATGCAGGCTAAATATATATACAATGGAATTTGAAAGTCTGAAACCACTGGCTTTTTATTTAGACATGGAAATTTTGAAATATTTTAAACGAGTGTAAATAAGAAATATTTAAGAACGAGTCAGTGCTATTTCTAGGTGATTATTCAAATGTAAGTAAATTAGTGATGTTGATCATATGAATTTATTATTTTTTTGGTAAAATGTCTTAAATCATGCTGGATTATATGGATCATCAGCTCATCTTTTGATGTACATTGTTAAAAAAAGGTCTTTAAAAGGTCTTAATTTGCCATTCCACACATGAAGGCCTTAAAAAGGTCTTAAGTCAGAGCAGAAAGTCTTAAATTCATAAAGTCACCCAAGTGCAAATGCAAAAAAATGAATGTCTTCCTCAATATTTTTGTTTTGTTTTCCGATGCAAATATCTAAACATCCTTAAATCAAGATACATTTACTGGAGATGCAAACTGAAAAAATTATGCCTTGTTTTCTGAGAAATTGAATAAAATTAAGTTTAAAACAATAACAAATATCTGTCAATGGGGAATGAAAACTGGTTTGCCCTTTGAATTAGGTTGATTTTTCTGAGGCAATTGGCAGATTTGTACTTGTTTTAATCATGATCTCTCTCTGCTGGAAGTTGCATTTTCAAACTTTGAAGCATTGCTATTATAAGTCATTTAATTTTAGAGACATACATTATACATTTTCTTTACTTGGTCTTAAATTTACCTTCATAAAACCTGAACAAACCCTGTAAAGAAAGTGTTGTGTTAAATTAGAAAAGATGCAAAACAGAAGCATTTTTAGTAGTGCTCTCACCTCAGTTTTATTTATTATTATAATTTTAAATATGTATTTGTAAAGTATTGTTCTCTAAATCAGAAATCTCTATATTATTCCACGCTCAAGCTCGTGGTATGAGGGGGGCCATTCATTATCGGAGCTGTTTGTCTGGATTCCAGCTCTATAATCCTCCTCTTTAAATACACTTACATCAACCATTGGCTCCGTCCCTTGTACACAATCCTCTGCCTATGAATTCTGTATTTTCATGTATATTTCCATCAGCGACTGCTTCAAACGGCGATATATCAGAGGCGCTGGGTTGGCTGGCTATGATTTAAAGATGGTTTGTGGCCACTCTGATGGTTTGTTGACTGGGTTTCCACGTTACAGAAGTCGGGTCTCTTCGTGTTATGGGACTATTTATTGTTTCCCACTTTTAATGTTATGTTTGGCTGACTGAGACTCCATGGTTAAGTGTTTGATTATTTTCTAAGAAGCTCCCTCCAAGTTTGTATGAGACATCAATGCCCCTCTTTGTCATGTAGAGAAGCACATTGGATAGGGTGTGTGATGCAGGAGATGTCGTCTTTGGTGTCCTGTCTAGCAGATTATGGGGTTTTGATTAAATTTAAATGACCTAATTTCATTAGACTTCAAATGCAAATGCATTTTTGTAGTATTAAGATAATTCCCTATCATGCATTCTTTTAAAGAGCCAGACAATGCTTTTTAAGTAATGTTCAGATTGCATGGAAATGCAATATAGCATCATTTAACACAACCTGATGATCATGTTCTCCAGCATGATTTGAGATGTTTTTAAGCTTAACTAGAGTTACATGTTCAGATTTACTCCAATTTGTCACCTAGAAATAGTGCAGAATTTTAAAGATTTATTTTTCATTGTACACCATAATGTTTTGCAAAGTGCAAAATCCTAAAACATAAACAAAATATCAGGACTTTTTGAGGTAAAGAAGCGAACACAACTATGATTTGTTCTCCTCTGGTTTCTCTGTTTGCTTTGAGCAGCTCCAGCAGAAATGAACTTCTGCATCCGTGTGTCTCATATCACATTACAACCTCGCCCTCTGAGGAATCAAAGCTCATTTTTCTTACCATTCACTCTGTAATCTGTCTAATTATGTTTCCTTTTCTTGTTCTGTTGTTCATGTCTTTTTTTCCTGACACACTGTCCTTTATCATTGATTTTGGTCTCTTGAAGCTGTCCGGTCGGGAACGGGTAATTATAGATTTTGAGACAGATTATCGCACACATTATGTTAGTGACAAACTCACGTTAAGGAAATGCACATGGTCTGAGAGATGCAGTGATTTGGATCTAACGTGTCGCACATGGCGTAAATTATTTCAAGCCTTCTGCTGCCAATACGACGTTATAAAAACGTAGATGCCCTTGATGTTGAAGCCAAGATAAATGCAGACTTTTTTCCTTCACAAATTAAGTTTTGATGATATAAAACAATGCAGCTAAGAAGCAAAGAGCATACATCTCTCATTTCATTTGTCTCTCAATGCATACTATTAGATCGACTGATTCCTTTCAATTTTTTACTATAAAATAATTGGGGATTTAAATGTCCCATTTTAAAAAACAAGCACTCCGCCTGGCTATAGATATTGCATTTCATTAACATTTAATTTTTTTTTAATAAGCTGGATGTCTCTGACTGCTCGCTCTCTGAGGTTTGGTTACCCAGGTCGCGTTTCGTCCATTAATGTTGTTTTTCTAGCGTAAACGAGAGATGTGATTATCAATTAGCTGAATGAAGCCGCTCAATCCAGGCCAGGATATCAGTACTGGCTCTAAATGAGAAGCACATGTCACCTCTGAGCCCAACAACACGCTGCTAATTGATTAGTGACGCTCTACGAAATTTGCCAAGAGCTTGTTTAACATCTGTAAGTGTTGCATGTGACGGCCGTTCGTCACCTGAAGGAGTCTGAGTGTCATTAATAATGTTTGTGTTTGTGTAAATGGGGAAATGGGACAAGATGTTTGTGCTGCTGCAATGCGCGCTCATATTTCAGGCTCACGTTCAGAGTTTTGACGGGTAATGTGAATCTAAATAACCACTGTAGGATGCATTTCAGCATTTTAGTCCTACTTTAAGTTAAGGGTTTATTCTCATCCTGAACCCTGTTAACCCCATTCCAATCCCAATATAATATGCAATTATGAATTATTAACTTATAGGGAATCAAGAAATTTGATTAGTAGGTTAAGTTTTTAAGTACCTCAGAATTTTATAAACCTATTACTGCAGTAAAAAAGCTCCAGTCAATTGTCATTTTATTTATTTTTGCATGTTTGAAAATGCCTGAACTAAGATGAACGCAAATAAAGAGAAAGTGTTTTTAACTTATAGAGAATAAAGAAATGAAATTATTTTTGATGCTAAAACAAAAGCATGTGATAGAGGACCTCAAAAACCGTTATAGACCCCTTATTCAGGGTATTTTGTTAAAAATTGGCATTTTATTTCCTTTTGCATGCTTGGAAAAAGCCTTGACTGTTCTGAAAACAAATAAATAGGAAAATTGTGTTTGCATGTTTGTTTGCATGTTTTTTTTTATTTTTTACTTATAGATATTGAATGGGTTTTCAATTTTGATGCTAAAACAACAGTATGTTATATTGGACGTCAACAACTTTTATAGACCCCTTCATTTTGTTAAAAATCTCTGTTCAATTGCCATTTTCTTTTCTTTTGCATGTTTCAAAAAGCCTAAACTTAAGCTGAAAACAAAAAATTAAAGAGTTTGCATGTTGAAGCGCTTTTTAATTTATTGGGAATCAATAAATGAAATGTTTTTTCTGTTTTAATGCTAGAACAACAGGATGTTATGTCGGACCTCAACAATTTTTATAGTCCCCTTCTGCAGTGCATTGTGTTAAAAATCTCCTTTCATTTGGCATTTTATTTCCTTTTGCATATTTGAAAAAAGCCTAGACTAAGCTGAACGCAAATAAAAAAGGAACATTTAAAGCGTTTGCATGTTTAAGTGCTTTTTATCTTTATAGGGAATCAAGAAATTAAATGCCATCAATTTTGATGCTAGAACAACAGCTGTCTAGTGCCAGTTTGTGCTTTAAATCAATGCAAGACACTTGAAATGGATGTTTCCTGATTTTAAAGGTTTGTAACGAAGGTATGTAAGCTCACTGTGTGTGTTTTCCTAAATTAGTTAGAATGCAATAACATAAAATGGTATATTCTAATGCTTTCGTGGCATGTGAGGTGTAACGTGCCTCTGCGGCCTCGTGTTTTAGAGACGCCACCTCGAACGCCTTGATGTGCATCGACAGTGATGACAAAACCATGTAGCTCACGCCATCTGGCTCCGACTCAGTATCCTGCCTCCATACGTTTGTCTAGAAGGGCCTCCGATTACGTCGGCATGAGAAACTTAATGAGGAAAATACTGTAAGTACAATCTGTGATCGCTCTGTCAACAGCGTTTTGTATTTGTATTTCCATACGTGCAGTGTGATAAGATGGAGATTTGTTTGACTTTTACATGTTAGTATATTTTGAATAGCTGAGGTATTCAAATAGGTTTTGCATAGATTGTGTTTTACATGTGGCTTTTTTGTGTGCTGTATAATGCTGGACTCAATTTTCACTCCCGGTTGTCAGACCTAAAGACTTTGTTAAACAGCTCAGTTTTGTTTCCTTTTGCATGTTTGAAAAAGCTTAAACTAAGCTGAACGCAAATAAAAAGCTTGCGTGTTTGTTTAAGCGCTTTTCATTCATAAGAATAAATAAAAGCTCCCTCGTTAACCATTTATCAATTAGAATTAACCACTGCAAGTCCTGCACTATTGCAAGTCTTCCACATCTTGTTCTAATGTAGCTCTGTAAATTGAAGCAGAGTGAATGTTTATACATCCAGAAGGGTTTTTCTCTGTCGTCCCACATATGCGTTTTTAACTTACACAAACAAGTCAGCATCTCGCACGCACGCGAACCCAAACAGGCCGACTTTTACCGTGCGCGTGCGCCGTCGCTTATCGACCCGCTCAACTTCTGTGTGACCCGCCGCTGAACCGCAGTGAAATGAAAATAATTTTTCACAGCACTCACCCCAGAAAAAGTTCTGCTGACACGGAGTCACCGAGCTGAAAAGACTGTTAGACGCCATAGCCGCACGTGGATCTCCTCTGCTCTCTCCTCCTCTGGAGGTCGTGGTGACCCTTGAAGTCCTAAACTGGGAGCACAAATCATATCAAGGCATCAGAACGCAAGCGGTGGCAAACAAACAAAAGCAGCCGGCGCACGGCCGTATGCTTCCCAGAGCGTTGAGGCACAGATATCGACGGCATATACGAGTGTGGTTAGAGCGTACTTACTGACTTGTTGGGTCTCTGTGACTGGGGTTGACCCACTCTGATTAACCATTTACGCCCCAGTGGCTCCCTCCTGTCGTCCTGGGGAAATCTCGTGCACCGCACTTGTGGTTCTGTGGTTGTTTGTGAGGGGAATGAGACATTCTCGCAATCCAAAAACGTGTAAGCTTTAAAACACACTTTTTTTCCCCTCCTGATGGGCTGTTACTGGAGAGGCTGGGTCATGTGTTCGGTGACATCAGAGCAGCCGAAAGGGTTCAGCCCTCTTGTCAGTGGTCCTGCGTTTCCTACTCACATCCAGCGGGATGCAACCTCAGCTCCTGTCAGTCTGAAGGGAAGGGGCTGGGATTTTCGGCAGCTCCGTTTCTGTCCTTCTCAGCCTCTCCGTGTCCCGGTCTCATTCCTGTGCTTGTTAACTCTGCCGTTTAGGCTCCAGGTGTGTCTCCGCGTAAGTTGCATAATCGGCTCTTTGAGAAATGACAGTCGCTGCGTTGGCTCTTGGATCACGTCTGGCTCTCGACGAGCTTAACGAGCACATTAGCGGCCGTGATTCATCCGTCTGTTTTGCGCGCCTCACAGGTTTGGAGTTTGGCACGCGGTCAGAGCGCGCCTCAGGTGTTTGTGAAAGCACGAAAAAACTTGCTTCTACAGCGCTCTCTCTCTCTCCTGTTTTGGGGTCATGTTAGGTGCTGCGCTGAATTTTGTGTGTGTTCATGTGACTTTAAAATCAAAATTACACTTCCTAGGATTTAGACCAACACTTAAGTTAAAGGAGGGGCTGAGCCACAGAGCAGGGTATCAGTTGAGAGTGAACTCTTTTGATTTGGAGTAAGTAGGCACCTTAGAACAGCAACTTAGAACAGCCTAGCAACCTTAGAACAGCAACTTAGAACAGAACAGCCTAACATCATTACAACAGCAACTCAGAACAGCCTAGCAATCACTCAGAATAGACATCCTGGGAACATTAGGGCAGCTTATCAACCATTACATGCATAATTGTCTATATTATATATTGTGTTTTTGGTATTTTGTACATTGTCTATTTTGTATATTTATATATTATTCTTTTTATTATCTATGTCCTGTCTTGTCACTGTCATTCTGTTGCACTGTGGAACTTCTGTCACTAAAACAAATTCCTCATATGTGTAAACCAGGGGTGTCCAAACTTGGTCCTGGAGGGCCGGTGTCCTGAAGAGTTTAGCTCCAACCCCAATTAAACACACCTGAACCAGCTAATCAAGCTCTTACTAGGCATACTAGAAACTTAAAGGCAAGTGTGTTGAGGCAAGTTGGAGCTAAACTCTGCAGGACACCGACCGGCCCTCCAGGACCGAGTTTGGGCACCCCTGGTGTAAACATACCTGGCAATAAAGCTCATTTTGATTCTGATTCTGGACTGATTAGGAACCACTCAGAACAGCCTAGCAACCACTCAGAACAGCCTAGAAACTATCCAGGACAAGATACATCATAGTAGCCATTAAGAAAAGCCCAACAACCACTTAGAACACCCTAGCAACCACTCCGAATAACCTAGCAACCACTTAGAACAGCCTAGCAACTATTCAGATCATCATAGTAGCCACTCAGAAAAGCCCAAGAACCACTTATAACACCCTATCAACCACTCAAATCTGCCTAGCAACTACTTAGAACACCCTAGAAACCCCTCAGAAAACAATAGCAACCACTTATTACACCCTAGCAACCACTCAAAGCAACCTAGCAACCACTTAGAACACCCTAGCAACCACTTAGAACACCCTAGCAACCACTTAGAACACCCTAGCAACCACTCAGAACAACCTAGCAACCACTCAGAACAACCTAGCAACCACTCAGATCAGCCTAACAACCACTTAGAAAACCCTAACAACCACTCAGAACAGCCTAGCAACCATCTATAAAAGCCTAGCATCGTGGTGGCAAGTTTGCACTCACATATTCTTCAGAAACGGTAAAGATCTCCTGATGTTTCTCCTAGACTGCTTATATTATGGGATGGCGGTGCGTATAAAAAAAAATGAAAATCTCAGCTCAGTGAATGTGCTGTGGTCATGACAGGAAATGTTTCGCCCACAGCAGATCAGACCGTTCGCTCCCTAAACGTCTGAGAACAAGACTAATCAGACAAACGCTTTATTGCGCTTAGTTACTTAACCCAGACACACATAGCTGCATTATTTAAAGAGACAGTTCACCTAAAAATGTTTTGAAGAATGTTGGTAACCAAACAGTTGACGGTAGCCATTGACTTCAATAGGATGGGGAAAAATACTATAGAAGTCAATGGCTACCGGCAACATTTTTCAAAATATTTTCTTTTGTGTTCAACATATGGGTTTGGAACAACTTTAGGGTGTGTAAAGGATGACAAAAGTTTCATTTAAAGGTGGAAGTAATATAAATAATATAGAAGTTAATGGCTACCGGCAACAGAGTATATAGTATTGCGTATAGTATTGCGTCAAGCTTATTTAAATTTTAATTGATTCATTGTCATTCTTTTGTACGATAATGGGGCTCATTATAGAATGCCGTTTATTGTCCATTTCCTGACTCTAAATTACAGCCCACATAAAGCTGCTGATAAACCAAGGTTTATTTTAATTGGATGTTTGTGTATATTTCTTAATGATAATGACATTAACTCTTGCATGGAGGAGCTTCCTGATTTAAAACTGTCTTTTTGTCATATTTTGCATGCTTCAATTTTGACCAGTTATGTGATTTGTGTAGTTCCTTTAGTGACTCAGATGCTGAAACGACACAGACATACAGATAAATGCTAGCAGGAGGGCAGTTCATTCTTAGCAAATGTACTTCTGTTGTTCATTTTCCAGCCCAGAATTGATTGAATTTAATAACTGATTTAATAGTAATATATTTTATTCATTTAAATGTTCTTTTTTGACAGTTTGTAATTAAATATGGAAAAATGTTGCTTGTGACTTTAATGGATCCATCGCAATTTGATTTGATTTTTTTATTTGAAAATATTTTGTTTTATGTTTTATTTTAACCATACACTGTTTAATCTTAATAATATTTAATTATTTATTTATTCATTTTTATTTAAGAAAGTACATGGGATGTTCAGTGAAGGAAAAAAATGTCTCATTTGCAAAAGTTGTTTTACAGACAGGATTTTTATTTAATTAATTTTATTTTATTTTATAAGGAAGGCTGTTCAATGAGTAAAATATTTCATTTGCAAAAGTTGTTTTAAAGGCATGAATTTAATTGTTTTATTTTATTTAAGAAAGAACATTCGATTAGTAAAAATGCTTTATTTGCTAAATTTGTTTTAAAGGCAGGATTCTTTTATTTTATTTTTAATTTTTATTTTATTTAAGAAAAGACATTCAATTAGTAAAAATTTGTTTTAAAGGCAGGATTATTTTATTTTATATAAGGCTGGTTATATTTGATTGTACTGGCATGCACTGATTAATCATTCACAGTAAGAGCGAGACTGTGTGTTAGGAAAGTTTGTGATTCGTGTAGTTCCTTTAGTCACTCAGATGCTGAAACTACACAGACAGCATGTGCAAATAAATGCTAGCAGGGAGTGCGGTTCATTCTTAGTCAATTTATTGCCATTTCTCATTTTCCACCTCAGAATTGAGTGATTTTTCACACTGGAAGGTCAAACGAGAAACTCCTGACTGCACATTCTGCTAATTATAGCCGCTCACGAGACAGACTGTATTTTCATTCATGCCGCTGACTTTCTGCTGTCTCTGAACACGTCAGCGCCGCTGTGAATATCTGCTCTTTGTCGGCCGAGTGCTGGTGGTCTTCCTGCGAGCATGGCTTCACTGTGGTCCTTGTGTGTGTGTGTGTGTGTGTGTGTGTGTGTGTGTGCCCTTCTAAGGCCCGGCTTTAGCTTGGCCCGCTTCAGTTCAGACCACACAGGCATAAACAGGGCATTAGATGCTAGAACATTATTCCTGGCTGCCGGAGGAAGTGCGCACTAATGCTTCCAGGAGACGTTACACCCCTGCACCGTTTCACACGTTCATAAATTAGAGCGGTTATGAGTTTACCGTTGAAAGCCATTCTCTATAGACAGCATTAAACGATGTTAGAGGTTATGTTTGCTAGTTTAAATTCTATCAGTGGCATCAATTGGGCTTGAAATTGTTAATTTGGAACTGTCGTACAGACTGATGCTTCTTGATGTGCATACGTTGTGAAATACAATGTGCCTTTTTTTTCTTCAATAACCTATTTTTTTTCTGAAGTTTTAAATTTTTTATTGTCTGTCACAAGGAGTTGAATCACTAAAATGTTTAATATGCAATCCCCCCCCCCCAAGTCAAACAGGTTAAAACAGACTCAAGATATGAAACTTAACTTAAATAATAGATTTAACTTTTGTTTAATTTATATATTAGTATTAATTTATATATTAGTATAATATATTTTATGAATGCAAATGTTATTTTTAGACTGTTAATCAGATATGAAAAAATGACTTCATTGGATCCAATGCAGATCCAATGATTGCATTCAGTATGGCTATTTATGATATAATTTATTTTTAAGATATTAGTGGTTGTTATTTCCTTGCCCATTTTGTCTTGGTTACATCAACAGAAAAGTCATTTCAGGGAGATAAATATTTTTAGATTTTTTAAAATTAAAATGATAATTTTTAGTGAGCTGTCATCAGTCCGCGAGTGTTTCACCGCCGGAGCAGATGTAGACCAGAATGACTCCATAGTGATTGAGGTGTTCTGTTGTTGGATGTAATAATGAACATAGCAGTCGTCATTTACTCCCGACATCTGAGCCGCTGAAAACGCAGTGGATTACATTTGTTTCTGAAGGGAATGCGCCTCTAATCTATCAAAATTATTACTATGTTCGCGCGAATCATTCGTGATCCAGCTTCGCCTCCAGAAGAAGCGAGTATAAGGTTTCTTTAATGAATCTTTGCAAATCGCCTTTCCTAATAATGTGCTAATTGGCAAGTTTCACGATGAATGCGGCTCTGAAGAGGGGGCGGGGTGAGTAAGCTCATTTGCATTTAAAGCGACATGCAATAAAACAGCTTGCTGTAGATAGTGCTGTTTTTGACAGGGTAAAAACAGTGTTGTTTTACACTACCATTGAGAAATTTTAACCAAACTATGTTACAGACTTTTCAGATTCTCATTAAGACCCTGAAGAATCATTAACTTGTGGAAAATGGGCATCCGATGACCCCTTTCTTTCTTTCTTTCTTTCTTTCTTTCTTTCTTTCTTTCTTTCTTTCTTTCTTGTCTATTATTTAAAATAACATACTGATTAATTTGTCATTCATTCAAATAGTAAATAGTGCTCATGAATATATTTGATTTTTAATCTTCTTTTGCAAACCAAGCGGTTTGTTTTTTAGTGCACAGGCATCTTTTACATTCATATCACAAAATATAATTCCATAATTTACAGTCTCTAGGATGCTTTTGTGAATGTTGACCGCCAAATTGA